CTACAACTGAGTATAAATACACACGAGGACACCAAGCTCAGTCTACAACTGAGTATAAATACACACGAGGACACCAAGCTCGGTCTACAACTGAGTATAAATACACATTTCTGCAAATCCCAGCATATGGTTTGAACTTATATTTTAATCAACATCCAAACTTTTTGAGGTTGTGGAAAGAAAAGACCATTTGTCCACTTCTCACTGAGCGCTGATAAAAGATGGTTTTAAATTTATGTCTGGGGTGTCAGATGTTCAGACGTGGACCTCCTCGGCTGAAAGAGTCTCTCTGGAGGTGGAAGTTGCTGCTGTAACAAAGCCGGGCCTTGACTGTATAAAGTGGGGGTGGGGAGTTACTGGGGTGGATTACAAGGTGGACCTCCGAGACCACTTTGATCCCAGATCACAGTTCTTGTAGGACGGGTTCAGCTGACAGCTGGGTGTCATTCGACTCTGAGTCACATGACCTTCAGGTTGGGACGAAGGGGAAGCCCTCGCGCTGCGCTCAGGGGATTTGAGCCATAAAACCAGGTCTCACAGAGCCTCTTTTCTTCCTGGCATGAACAAGTAGCATGGAGGGAGTAACTACAGGTGAGTTACGACTCCGGTCGGCCCTGTTTCGTTGTACCTTTTCACTGCCATTTAAAAGAAAAGCAGCGTGGAACCTTTAAAGAGCACAGATCTCAGCTCGCTGGGACCTGCAGAGGGGAAACCTACCCTGAACGGACCCCCGTTTCCATCGTCCAGCTCTAAAATGTATCCCTCCACAGCGATGGTGGAGAGCGGCGGCTGTTTCCATGACAACGTGGCGCTGTTGTTCTGCGTGCAGCATTCCTCCAGTTGGAGCATGGGAGCAGCTGGGACTAAGGAGGGGAGAAACCAGGCCAGATACAGAGATATGAAGACACACGCAGAAAACCTGATTTAACTCTGCAGCGCACCAAGACGTGCACTGCATTAATCACTTTTTTATTTATCATTAAAAAAACAGACTTTTCTGATGTTTTGATTATTTTGAAGAATGTTTCAGGATGTAAAACATCAGAAACAGCAGACTGTGTACATCAGGGTACCCAGAGTTTTTGAGCATGGAGCTCCTTTTAAACTGACCAAGTCACAGTGATCTACCGGTACTTATCTGCTATAAGGCCCCGATGATTACACAAAACAACCTCTGGAAACATCTGTGTTTTTTTATGTTTATTTGGGTTAATTAACAAAAAATGAGCAGGTTTACAGGAAAACGCTGTAGTTTCCATGTCAGTCGTGTTGCCAGATAAGAAATGATGAACTATAGTACTGTGGCTTTAAAATGATAGTATTTTGACCTAAACTGTCAGATGTGTTGAGTAAAGATATTCTAAGATGAGGTGTGTGTTGTGTTTGTTGAGCATGTGCACAGAAAAGGAGGGGTAAATAAGACATTTTAAATTTATCTGGCAACCCTGATGCAGGCTCAGTTGCATTCATCGTGCAGCATCTGCATGACAGTTATTCCAAACTGGTGAAGACACCAACGTCTCTTTGGAGCCTGGAGTTTATTAGTTTAGCTCCTACATGCTGAAAAAGACTGAGCAGCACAAAAACACTCTGCTCTCTGCCATTTATTATAACTGTTGTTATATTTATTATAACTGTTGTTATATTTATTATAACTGTTGTTATATTTATTATAACTGTTGTTATATTTATTATAACTTGTTAT